TGGGTTTTGAGACAGGGTCTTACTATGTATCTTAGGCTGGCCTTGAACTCTAAATCCTCCTACCTCTGCCTCCCAAGTGCTAGGATTCTAGGCATGTACCACCATGCCCAGTTATTTTTGAATTAATTCTATTTTCTGCAGTAATCAAGTATGTAGATCCATCATTCCAAAAGTAAATAGTTTCAAAATTAATATTTTTCACTTACAGGCAGGATATTTAATTTACTTTCTATGACCTTAATAAGTAAAACTATAAAAAGGTAAGATTGATTACAGGACTTGCAATAAAAACTCTGTAATAACTTGAGATAGTGGCTCAAATCCAAAATTTGCTTGTTTATTTTATAAAATATAAAATTTTCATGACTTCATAAAGTTTAAAATTGTTGCTTTGGAATTGTGCCATACCAGTAAATAAATTACTGTTACTTATTTTACTTATTGGTCTAAATAGTGGGTTTTGTTTTTCTTAAATGTGTTTCTGCAGTCCAGCATATTTCAGTAACTTCATAGACTTGGAAGGAAAAGCTACTTTAAAATTAGGATTTTTAGCACCATTAACTGCACCTGTAATCCTAGCTAGATCAGGGGGATTGTGTTTCGAGGCAGCCTGGGCAAATCGTTTGTGAGATCCCATCTCCAAAATAACCAGAGAAAAATGGACTAGAGGTGTGGTTCAAGTAGAGCTCCTATTTTGCAAGCATGAAGCCCTGACTTCAAACCCCAGTCCCATCCCACCCATCCAAAATAAAAATTAGAGTTTTTGTTTGTGAACATTTAGGGTATCCATAAGCAGAGCTGTAGAAAAATAAAAAATGAGTTTGTCTTTTATTGTATGATGTTTTCTTTCATAGTAGATTGGTAACAAATATCAAAACTTACTGAGACAGACATAATTTAGGGACCCACTCACTGATCAATAATTTCACTGTGGTGGTATAAGGAATATGCCCCAAAAGCTTAAATTCAAAATGGTTAGGGTAGCGTATTATTTAAGATTGTGAACTCTGAGTGATATTTTTCTTCTTGTTCACATAACCAGGAACAAACAGTTGCATTTTTCTTTGTGAGTAGCTGAAGTCAATTTATTGATTTTGGGCTCTTCACAAAAGTTACCATTCACAGGATAGGATTCCCTCAGTATGATACAAGTTGCTTGGACTTGCCTTGTATTCTCAGAGAGCAGGAAGTGTTGATAGTCACTAGGATGAAATTGGATGCTAAGGAGTGGTGTGTCTGGAGCTCCTTTGTGCAGGATGGTTAGCTGCTGGTCACACATGGCCTTAAAGTATGCCTCATCCAAACTGAGATGAGCTATAAACAGTGAGAAATAAATATGTTGCAGATTTTGATGATTCAGTACAAAATGATTTTTATACTTGGTTGAATATAATGGGTAAGCGAAATATATGAAAATTAATTTTGTCTGTTTCTTTGTGTGTGTGTGTGGTGCTGGTGGTCAAACCCAGGGCCTTGTGCATGCATTCTATCACTGACTTACACCCTTAGCCCCTCTACTTTTTAAAAAATTTGCCAACATGTCTGAAAAAATCTTTTTAAGGTGAGTAATTTGGTGACATTTTATACATTTCTGGTGTTGCACAACTGCCACACCTCTATTCTAAATATTTCATTACCTCAAAATAACATCAGGTACTCATTAAGCAGTTCCTCTTCATTCTCCCCTGCCTTCGCCCCTGGCAACAACCAATGTGTTTTCTCTCTATGGGTTTATCAGTTCTACATATTTCAGATGCATGGAGTCATACAGTATGTGACCTTTGGTGTTGGATTCTTTGACTGAACTTGATGGTTACAAGGTTCTTCCTGCTGTAGTGTGTATCAGCACCTCTTTTTGTGACTGGGTAATATTCTGTTGTATGGACATTCCACATTTTATCTGTTCATCTGTTGATGGACAATTTGATACTTGATTATTTCCACCTTTTGGCTATTGCAAATATTGCTTCTATATACCCTTATATAGGGAAGGCATTAAGCACTTATGTTGCCTTTCCTTGAATTATACCTCTGGGTAAGTAACCAATTAATAGACAAGGGGAAGTTTCTTTTTGTAGTAATACTCCACCAGTTCTTTTTTTGGTGATGGGTTTTTCTCAAGAACTATTTGCCTAGGCTGGCTTCGAACTGCTGTCCTCCTGATCTCTGCCTCCTGAATTGGATTACGGGTGTGAACCACTCGCACCTGGCATCCCCTTACCATTTCTGATTTTAGAGTGCCGTAATACTATTTGGAAGTAAAGAAGCTGGGTGTTATGGTGTTGCAGGAGTTTGCTAGCTGAGATACAGGACTCTTGAGGCAATTAGCAGAAAGCAACATTTTATTGTGCCAACACAGACTCGGTGGACTCATGCCCAAAGGCTGAGCCCCGAGAACAAAGGGGGCTCACTTTACATACTCTTGCAAGCAGGTTACAGAAGCAAAAAGCAAGTTCTAATCCATATATGGTTATATTTAATTTTATTGGCTACTTTACCCTAATGCTATGTGACTTTCCCCTCCCTGGTGCTACATGACCTTTCTCATGTTCAGATTTCTCAGGTTTTATCTCTCTGCTATGCCATCCCTACCTCCCTGCTACTTTCTCAGGATTCAGGCCTAGACTGTTTTCTTCTGATCCTCCTCCCTGGTACAATGGTTCATGTACATAATCCCAGCACTTGGGGCAGGAAGTTCTCAAGTTTGAGCCTACCTTGGGCTACATAGCAAGTTCCAGGTGAACCTGGGCTGCATAGTGACACCCTGTCTGAAAAATAAATAAATAAAATAAGAAATAAAGCTGTGCACAAGTTGTCCACAGGACATCTTTTCTAGGGATTGCCAATATGTTTGGTGTTGGCATCTGCACATAACTGTGCACTGATCGGTCCCTCTGGAAAGACTGCCAAGTAGGCCAAAAACTCTTCTCAGTCTGCAAATGCTTGATCTCTTTCTCACTAGTCTAATTGAGAGCAGGTTGTTAGAGGGAGTGCTTCATTTCACAGAAAGGAAAAGGAAATTTTTGGTGTCTTACATTTATTTTTCCTTTTGACTGATGAGTGCTTTGGGGAGCTTATTCTACTTTAATTTGTACAGTCTTACGCCTTTCATGTTTCTCCCACTCAGACAAAAGTTTAGAAATGAATATTGTCAAATAATTAATCAAGTGATTGAACAGATATTCAAACTAGTTTTAAGCAAAAGCTAGAACATATTTGCCACCTATACAGTTTTAAAGAAGTCATTCCCAGTTATTAACTGTCAGCCATCTACCTATCTCTATTACTTTGTTAAATGTATTTTTTTGGAAAGGTGTACAATGAGTTGAGTCCCCCTAACCCCCCACCCCCTGCCCCCAGGGCCTCATGCATGCTAGGCAAGTACTCTGCCACTGAACTATATTCCCAGCCTATATATTCTGTTTTTCGGGGGTAGGGGGTGGGATTGGGGTTTTAACTTCTTGTTTGCAAAGCAGATGCTCAACTGCTTGAGCCACACCTCTAATCCATTTTGCTCTGGTTATTTTGGAGATGAGGATCTCTCTAACTGTTTTCCCAGGCTAGCCTCAAACTATAATCCTCCTGATCTCAGCCTCACAAGTAGCTAGGATTATAGGCATGAGCCACTGGAGCTGTTCAGCAAGACAATACTACAGTTAGTCCTTCACATCTTTCTTGATCATTTCTCTTAATATGGAAAAAGAGTATTTCCAATAGAACCCTGTCACCTGCTTTAACCCTTTATCCCCTAGCAAGAGAATGCCATTGTCTTGCTAGGTTAAATCACTACCTTCTCTAAGTCAATTCCCTGTGAGTGTCCCTGCCCAACTTTCCTGCCTGACTATTCACAGGCCTCCACACTGAACTCAAGCTGGACAACTCTAGACCCCAAACCTGCTTCTCTCCATCCCTTCCTTATTCATCTTTGGGCAAGCCACTCATTAATGTAGTTTATTTTTTCAGTACTGGGGATCAAACCCAGGGCCTCATGCAAGCACTCTACCACTGAGCTGCATCCCAAGCCCTTGGTTTTCTGAGGCATGTCGCACTAATGTAGCTCAGGCTTTATAAATTCAGGTATGAGTCATCGTGCCCAGCCAAAATTTTTAACTTTTCTAATTTCTCCTCGTGTAATAAACATGTAATCCCTAGTGTATAGAAAATATATTTTACTAAGGGTCAGATTGTTTGAGAAGACTGCTTTCTACTAGAGGCAGCTAGGCGTCTCCCTCTCTATAAATTATGCACTTGGAAAATAGGGCCAGCAAGTGTGAGACATAAATAACGGTAATTAAGCTCTCCTCCATGATGAGCGGCGCACTGTGCCACTGCAGATGCTGCTCCTTGTGTTTCCACGTTTTGGCGGGGAACTTTCGAGAGTTCCTCAGTGGTTGCTTTGATTTGGACCATGATTACTTTCCAGGAACGTTCTCCTGATTGTTAATTCAAGAATTGCCTCTCTTTGTAGTGATTTTATATACATTGTTTACTTTAATAGATATTTCCAGAGCAATTTTCCATGTGTAGAAAATTTAAGAAGTGAATGTGCTGGGCGTGGTGTTTCACACCTGTAATCTCAGCACCTGGGGCTGAAGCAGAAGGAGAGAGTTCCAGCCAGCCTGGACTACAATAATGAGGCCCTGCTTCAAAAAAACAAACAATCAGGAACAAAATACATAATATATGTTCATCAGTGGGCCTTGGGGGACCTTCTGGTCTTTTGGCTGATGGTATTTTATATAGAGCATTATAAGGACTCAAGATCATTAAAAGGAAAACAATGATCTACTTTATGTTTGTTGTCTTGGGTTCTCCATGCTATGATCTTGCTTATCGTGTGCTATGTTCCCAAATTAGGAGAAGAAAACACCTCTGAAGTTAGAAATTGCTCTAATTATTTGTTTATACGTTTAACTTTTTTTTTTTTAAGTCAGCATTTTTTCTTGGTTCAGTATGGCTGCCATCTGCTTCTCTGATTCTTTCTGTTTGTCCCTCTTTAGGCAGCTATTTTGCCAGCCACTTCATCATGGGAGGAGAGAAGTTTGACTCCACACATCCCGAAGGCTACCTGTTCGGGGAGAACAGCGATCTGAACTTCCTGGGGAACAGGCCAGTGGCGGTAGGGCTGTAATCTCTTTACTTTCCTGTGGGGCTCAGGGCCCAAGTGACCAATTCACTCAGCCCTGTAAAAAGCAATTTGCATTTGCTGGCTTAGCGAAGTTTGCAAGTTGGTCTGAGCTGAGGGGGGCCCTAGAGCCAGGTGTCTTGGCCCTGCAGTACTGGAGGAGCCCCTGGAAGTGCTTCTTCAGTGCAGTGAAGTGGAACTTTCCTGAGGACCCGGATTTCTCCAAAGTCCACCTCGTCAGACAACCCTCGTCCAACTCTCTCACTTGCCCTCACTGGCATGTTTTATTTCTTTCTTCCTTCTTTGTAGTACTTAGCACCAAGTTCCTATTTATTTTTCTCTTTCTCCGTTTATTGTCAGCAAGACTATGTTTACTGTCGTGTGCCAGACCTAAAACAAAGCCTAGCATGTAATGCTAAGCCTTAGTAAATATTTGTTGAGTGAATGACTGACAAGGTTTTCCTGGTGTCTGAGTTGATATTAGAATGGGTCTCTCTCAGTCTTTTGCCTTTTTTTTTTTTTTTAAACATTCTTCCTGCCTCAGCCTCCTAAGTAGCTGGGACTACATACCACTGTGCCTGGCTCTGTTAACTTTTATCAAGAACCTTCTCTGCACCTGCATGGGGCTTTGTGAAATAGCTGCCAAATGGCTCATGAGTGGCCCTGTGTGCCAAGGAAGGTAATAGAGACTTTTCAGACATTGGTTCCTACTGCTCATGAAGACCTACCTAGGGATGGAACCCAGGGTTTCTCTATCATTGAGCTACACCCTCAGCCCTCAGAGGACTTAATACAGTCATTTCATCACTGAGAGACCCGAGGTTCCCAGAGTGGTGGGCAGCTAGCATTTAGGAAGTATGTGCTGTGTTTGAAGCCCTGTTCCAAGTGTTTTACAGAAGTTTTTCTCAAAGTCATAAAACTAGGTGTGCTTGATCACACATCAGTAATCTTTCCACTGTCACTCACTGCCTCAGAAAATTCTGCCATCTTCAAGAAACTGTCAGGTTAGTAGGGCAAACAAAGCAAATCAATAGGAAAGTGAAGATTTAATGTGATTGGCTGGGCACCGGTGGCTCACGCCTGTAATCCTAGCTACTCAGGCAGCAGAGATTAGGAGGATCATGGTTCGAAGACAGCTTGGGCAATAGTTCATGAGACCCTATCTCAAAAAAAAAAAAAAAATCACAAAAAAAAGGCTGGTGAAGTGGCTCAAGGTATAGTCCGAGATCAAGCCCCAGTACCACAAAAAAAAAAAAAACAAAAAAAAAAAACCAATGTGATTGAGTTCATAGGAATTAAAGTGGGAGGAGGGAAGAATGACTTGATCAGACTGCTCTGGCTCAGGGTGGACAGCGGGGGAGCTGAGTGGGGCTTTGAGGAATGGCTGGGTGGGAAAAGGGGGCTTCCCAGAGTGAGGCGCAAAGTATACCCTAAAAGCATTCATGGTTTTGTTGACTCAGCAAATATTTGCTAAGCAACTGCTGTGTGCCAGAAACCGTGATAGCTGCTGTGGACACACAGCTGAAATGAACGTTTGTTCCTCCTTGGAGCAAATAAGGAAACCAGTCTGGCCTGATGGTGAAGTGAGATTGGAAAGGTAGGTGGGGGCTCCACTACTTTGAGAGGTAATCACTTTTCTTCAGGGCAATGGGGAACATTTATCATTTTCAGGCAAGTGGGTGACCTGGAAAAACTGTTTTTTAGGAGGATTGAGTTTGGTGATGATCTTCCATCTCAGGCTTTAATTTTAGAAGTTTGGTTTTGTTGGTGTTGGTTGTCATTGTTTTCTTCCTTTCTGTCTCAGATGATCCCTCTTCTAATTTAAGATATTTTCAAAATACAAGTCCTGGCTAGGCATGGTGGTACACACCCACAATCCCAGCACTCAGAGGCTGAGGCAGGAGGACTGAGAGTTTGAGGCCAGTCTGGGCTACATAGTGAAACCCTGTCTCAAAACCAAAAAAAGAAAAATACCAAATCGCCTTCCATTTCAAATTAAGTTAAGCCTAATACTTACCAAATGTATATGCTTCAGTTTTGCTACTACTACCTTACCCATTAAAAAAGCAGAGATTTCTTTGTTTCTGATAGAGCCTTTTCCTCACTTGCCAGTTAGCTTGTGCTTAGAAAATGGGCCTTCCTTATGACATGGACTTGATGTTTGTATCAGCTTCTTTCTTCTTTCTTTACTCTGATGTCAGAATCGTTTATATATGTTTATTTAAAAATAGGTCTTTTTCTGCCTATAAAGATGATTTAAAAATAAGCAAATGCTTCTTTTAGGTTCATTTTGAGGTTTACGCTGCCTGAAAAATTTTCCCAAAGTTGAGTCACCTTGTTTATATCTCTGTGGAAGCCTGTGAATGACCGAGTGATCCTGAATTACTAGGTAGCAGCCTTGACCTTAAGTTTGAGGCTTTTTCTCAAGGGAGTATTGACATTGGTGTTTTTATTGTTGTTTTTATGTAGCAATCATTAAGTATGCTTAATGCTGAACAGAACAAAATTTCAAAAGAACATTATACCGAGCGGGTGTGGTGCAAGTCTGTAATCTCAGCACTTGGGAGGTGGAGAAGGAGAATGGTGAATTCCAGGCCAGCCTGGGCTACATAGCAAGATCCTGTTGCAAACAGAGAAGAAAGGAGAGAGGAGAAGAGACCGTGCTGTGATTTCATGTTAGGAAAGCTAATCAGAGTAATTTCAGATAGCTACATAGAAATATCTAGGATAAATGTAGCATGCTCCTTTTTCTTTCCCCATGTTCTTTAATTATAATAATGCCTAGCAATTAATGAACACTTCCTGATTTGCCAGGCCTGCTTGTCCTGAGTGCCTCACCTGGGTTACCTCATTTTATCCTCACAGCCTATTAAGGCGAAGCACACTAGGCACAAGGACTTTAAGAATACCAAGCCTGTGAGGGATTAAATCAGGATTTGAACCCAGCAGTCTGGCTCTGGAGCCTGAGCTGGTCTGCCACTTCTGTAAGAAGGTCAGGTGTATTCTGGATTTCTGCCCACATGCTGTCTGTGAGTCTGTTTGCGTGGATGGTCAAGTGCAGCTTTTGAATTCTGCAGAAAGAACTAAAAGGTGGAGCGATAAGCTCTGGGAGCACTCCTCAGAGAGCACGCATGTGGTATGTAATTCCATCTGCTGAGCTGACCTCTGTGTTCTGCCATGGCTGCTCTTCATGCTCAGTTAGGGGACCACCCCAAGAATAACTTCCACTCTCAAGTGACAGAGCTGGGTGTCAGTCAACAAGTGAGCATCAGGTTACAGAGCAGAGAGGACAGCCTTTTAAAGCCAGGCAGCAAGAGCGGCTCTTCTTTCCAAAGAGAATGAGGATGGGCATAGGAATATGTTGAAATGAATTGTCAGATTAAAATATAAATGCCATAGACTTCCTGGCTCCAGGGATTTGTGGTATTTACTGTCACTTCTGAATAAGCCGACTAAAAAGTTATCACCTGCACTGATTCCACTGTAGTTTTCACTGGAGTGCTATGAATTTACCACTCAGGATAATCCAGCAGAGCAAATTTGTTCTCTAGTCTTCAGGGTCAGATTTAAGGAAACTAAAGTGTGTGTATGTACAGAAGGACGGTTGAAGAGAGATGGAATCAACTGCAGCTTCAGTTCATATACTTTTTTTCTTGTGGTACTGGGGTTTGAACTCAGGGCCTACACCTTGAGCCACCCCACCAGCCCTTTTTTTGTGATGGGTTTTATTGAGATAGGGTCTCACAAACTATTTGCCTGGGCTGGCTTTGAACTGCGATCCTCCTGATCTCTGCCTCCTGAGTAGCTAGGATTATAGGTGTGAGCCACCAGGCGTCCAGCTTATACACTGGGGTTTAAGTACTGTTTATTTTGTTTTGTTTTTAAGCTAGGGCCTTGATATAGCCCAGGCTAGCCTCAAACTCAAGATCCTTCTGCTTCAGCCTCCCAAGTGTTGGGCTTATAGGCAGCTGCTACTGCTTCTTCTTCGCCATCTTTGTCTTTGTCTTCATATTCATCGTCTTCTCTTAGGACCCTCTAGGCTCTTGTCAGGTGGGTAATGTGCTGATGTTGTAATAAGGTTTGAGGGAGACACATGTCACACAATGGCATTAACTCCCAATCAAAATGCTTATGAAACAAAAAAGGATCCCAAGCATAGCTTCTTAAGTGGTGAGGAGGGCTTCTAAAGGTCTTTTGCCCTGGTCCCTATACAGAGGAAAGGGAGCCACAGTGATGAAATGCTCAGTGAAGGCCAGCCCTGCCCTGGACGGTACTGGGAGATGGTGCCCTGGCAGGTTTTATTTTGTTAAGATAAATTATTAAAGCTCTGAGTTATTTAGAAACTTAATTTAAGATTAAGTTTCAAGTCAAGCAATGCCTTCGTTCCACCTGCTGTTTGTAGCCAGGAGTTTATGCCCTCCTCTCATCTTAGAGGAAAAGCCACTGAGTTTTAGTCTAGCTCCTAACATCTTTTGTGTTCTGTGGCTGGCCTGTAGTCCTGACTTCCTTCTCATTCTCCTTGCAACCAGGCTATGCTGGTACGAATAGATGTGCTTTTCTTCTCTGTGTGCTAGAAACATACGCAAATGTGCTACATCCAGTTTCTGCAAATTGTGTGCTTTTATTCACGTGTGTGCAAGGAGAACAAGTCTTTTTTAGTTTGTTTTTCTGTACTGGGGATACAAACTTAGCACAAACTAGATGAGTATTGTACCACTGAACTATGTCCCTAGCCTAAGAGCAAGGTTTTGGGTTTTTTGGGTTTTTTTGCAGTACTGGGGTTTGAATTCAGGGCCTTGAGCTTGCTAGGCAGGTTCTCTACTACGTGAGCCACGTCTTCAGCTTTGTTTTGATTTTTTGAGGAGGCATGGCTCAAGTGGTAGAGTACCTGACGAGCAAATGTGAAGCCCTGAGTTCAAACCCAAGTACCACCAAAAAAAAAAAAAAATCACTTGTGATCTTTTGAGATGCAATCTTGCTATATTGCCCAGACT